TGATGTGGGATGGTGCAGTCGTCAACCACATGCGACTATAATCAGCTGTTCTAAACTTCCTCATTGGAAGTCACGAAAAGGCGGTGGGTTTTTCGAGAAGTTGTTGATCGTGTAATTACCAGAGAGTTTTCCGTCTTTTTGTAAGTGTTATTGAAGCGTTTGGCCTAGTAGATTGTATATCAGTATACCCTTCCAGGCTCTGAAGAAGGCGATACTGCCGAAACGTCAGCTAGTGTTGTATTGTATTGTGTTTTTATGGAAGTAAATGTATGCTGTTTAAAAACCTCGCGATTGCTGAACAAGAAAACGACACATTCATATTCCAATGCCGAGGTTAAGAGAAAGTCGATCCTGGGAACAGCTTGAATCAACAAATTTTGAACAAAACGTCACGTATCGCCTGATTTTTAGTTCAACAAGCGTCACTACTTCGTCCAAAGTAGTACTATCACCACTTATGTGGGCAGACGATAGTGCTGGGATTAAGACGAGTCAGCTAGGTCAGAATGAGATAAACGCGATATGAGAACCAATCCTTGCCCTGCATTTTATGAGTCTGGCTCGTTTTGTTATCATGTGTTACACTTCTTATGAACATCACGTTATTTCACTACCGACACAGGTCTGTTACAGAAATGGCAGAGCACGGGAATCCTGTGCACGATCACTTTGCCCTCTCCAGTTGCACCCGGGAGACATTGAATGATATACTACCTTTGGAGAATGTACAAGATGTGCTTCCTACTAAAGAAAAATCGCCAGATGCCACAATGGCCACGATTCTGTGGAATTTCTTCGTTCTACTGGTGTGGAGGTTGGCGATATCTCGTGTTTCGGTCATTGCCATAGCAAACCGTATTGGGGCACCATCAAATTTGTTATCAGTTATGTTTAGCAGTCAATCTCTCATTAGCATGCATATCAACCAATCCCTTATCATAATGTATACAAAAAACTGCTCTAAAATACAGACTACAACAGCACTTGAAAATAGTGTTAAGGGTCACAACTATAAAAGAAGTAAAAGTTGGTCCGTTTAGCGATCATCAATCCTTGAGGGTGGAGCATGCATTCAACTTCATCACAGGTAGTAAGTGGTTATTGAATTGGATGCACATCCGATTTCTACAACGAGATTCAATGTCCCACCAGTGGGTCAACTAATTTTTTTTCCGAAGCCAGAGAAATGGCAGGTGACGCTACGGAGGTGTCAGTCCAGCAAGTGGGATCAAAACAGCAATAGATTCCATATGCGTTGAAAAGCATCTCTAACCATTACGCTGTACACGTTCCCTGTGGGGGTATGTTAGCAAAAATTTAGTGGAGTACTCCAAACAAGGACGCTTAACTTGTACTCATTCATTTCTTTTCACAAGCTTCACGTCACTGAAGCAGTGGGAATAAAGAGAAATGAAACGCTTCGTCCTACTAAACTGTTGCTCATGAGTTAGCGAATTATAATGGAAAAGAAATCACTCAATTTTATCATAGCACATGCAGCAAATTCTGTATATAACTCGGTGAGCAGCGACCATGTCAAGATCTGTCTATAGGTGCCGGAAATTCTTTCTGGTTTTGGTATTGTAAACGCAAGTCAGCACAGCAAGCGAGATTTCACTTTACGGTACAATCTTTTGTTTCTTGCCTTCTTTTTTCTTAAACTTGATCAATGTACGTTTCTCTTTCAGATGCCATTAAAGTGCAAAATGTCTCATTCCCGCATAGGGTTAACAAAGCACTTTTGAGCCCATTTGAAAGGACACTTGAGTGTTATTGCAGTGTCATTCATCTCCATCCTCTCTCACTTAGGTTGTCACACAGCGAAGGTAAACGTGGTCTCAATACTGGTGAAGTTTTCATTTCGCCTGTTCGTACAATTGCTCTTTGACAATTAAACAAATCCAACAGAGACTGGCCGGACTAACAGATTAGTGTGCATTATTTTCATTTCTTTTGTGCATATTCCGATATAATATTCATTCGCCCAATACAGAAAATGTTTATGGAACAAAATAATGGCTCTTAGACTAGCTAATTCGCAACCGCGCTAATTTTCCAACATCTGACAATAATTGTACGATTATTACAGTAGTCGAAAAGTTAAGAATTTCGTAGAAGAAAAGCATCACTTTGTGAAAATATTAGGAAATATTATATATGTGTATGTATATATGTGTATATGTGCACATATATATGTGTATGCATATATATATTTGTGTACGTATATATATATATGTATATGTATATGTTTATGTATACGTGTATATGTATACATACATGTATATGTATATGTTCATGTATGTGTATATGTATATGTAAATGTATATGTATAAATATACCATATACTTAATGTACATACGTGCCCATATTATATACGAAACAAGCACACATAAATCATAATATAGATGAAATACTCAGTCGGTTGACGTTTGTTAATAATCGGGCTCCTCAAAAACGGTGATGTGGAGATCTAACTTTTGCAGAGAACCAATATAGGGCGCGGCAACCTCGAAGCCAACATTATATTACGAAACACAACCGTGTCCTCGTGGGCGAGATCCCGCTTTTTTATTTGTTTTCGTTTTGAAAATGTAAGTTCCCATTAGGGAAAGGAGGAAAATCTCCTCCTGCAAAAGAAATCATTTAATTTACTAATCAATGGAAGAAATCCCTGATAGAGTGATGGAAACGTTTACTTGCTAGCACTCACAATTTCCAACGGGTACAGTACCACTTGTATTTAAAGTTGTAATCGAGTCGTTTAATCGAATCGAGATAAATTTTCCTATTCCAGTGCTTACCTATATGTATCGAAAGTATTTCATCTCTTGATCTCAATAAATTATCGAAGGGATATTGTGGCATAGGCGGGAAGCTGGAGTAACGTTTAGGTGCTTCGTTCAACCAATACCGACACCTCGACAATTCTCTCAAATGCACATTAAGAGAGATAAACTAGCGAGAACTAGTTAAAACTGGATGTTATATGTGGACAAAGAATCTTCGTCGTAAACCAAGCTAATCGTTTGGCCCAATAAGTAGATTGTTCTTTGGTTTTTTCACATGGTTCTTTCGAATATTTGCAGAAAACAATTTATTCAAACACCTTATTACTGTCTCGTCAGGTGCGCAACAATCTCGAACTGGCGCAGCTAGAAGGCTACAAGTGCCTGAGATAATAGAACGTAAATCAGATCAATGGAAATATCAAAATATCAATGTTCGTGCTTAATATGATTTACATCATCGTTCATTTCAAGGCTCCTAAGCGTCACAGCGAAAGATTAAATATGAGGACAGATGTTGTCTCGCTGAGCTGATTCACGAATTTTAATTCACGGAGGCTTTCTCAAATCGACTATGTAGAGTAATTTTTTAAAAGCAGTATCTAAGTATATCATCTAAATCGTCGAAAACGAAGAGGAGGCTGGAAATAATTCTAACCGCGATGCTAATTTATGTCTTAAAATTCGGGTTTAAAAAAGAGATAAGAACAAAGCTCTCGGCGTTGACCAATCTCTGAGGGATGCGCCATGCATTCGACTACACTAATCATCGTTTGGAGGTGACTGAATGCATATCTGGCCTTTACATTCACTCGCGGTGGCCTACCCATGTATCGAGGTAGTGCTATTATCCTAACTCTTGTACCAATCTGCCCAGCTCGGAGAGATGAAAGGCTTGGTGGTCCATGGGTGAGAGGATCGATTCCACGAGTGTGTTGCAGGGCACCTCCGACCACTGCGCCACACGCACCTCTAACTTCGGATTTAAGGGACTAAAATAAAAAACATTGCCGGAGTGAGTTAAAGAGCAATGTTCTTTTTTGTTCACTGATTAATGGCAACAGTCTACTTTAGTGTATTTGAATTCTACATGTCCGATTGAGAAGTTTTAACTTACCAAAGTCCAGGTGACGGTCAGTTTTACGTGACATTCGGTTTCGCCTACAACGATTCCACAAAAACAAACCTGGTAAGGGCACTTTTTAGCAAAAATCTTTTGGTGTTTTAATCACGTGTTCTTTATTGATTTTCTGTTTCCATCTTATTTTTCTCAAATTAAGGTGGTGTGCTACCCGTCAGTGAATACGGAGTTGCTTCAATGAATTACATAGCTATCGAAGAGCTTTTAAGCTGCCGTTAATGAATGACTACTACATTTCATACTGCCTAGTGGTCATGTTGCTATTAATAACTGTTACTTAACTGCTATAGTTATTCGTTGTCAAATCAAGAACGACTCATTTTATTCCGCTCTAGTTATTAGGCTTTCCAACGTAGCCTCTAAAACTTGCATCTCTCCTTTCACCATGAATTGTCGATCCCATTCGTGTTATAAAACAAAGTGAAAATAGCGTGGGATGATACAAATAATAAAAAAAATTTAAAAATAAAACACCCTTTTGAAATAAAAAAGGTGAGAAGGATGCAAAAGACCTCGAAGCCGTTTGAATATTTCGGCGAATGTGATACTCGTCTTACTATTTTGTAGCTTACGACCTGATGTGCGTATGTGACGCTTCATATCACTGGAAAGCCTTAAAAATAAGTCTTTTCTGCGATGTTGGATTTACTATTCCTATGACCCGCAGTCAACGTCAAACCATTTATGAAGCAAATTCCTGAAAGTCTATTAGTGCGTCCTTCAAATAACTATGATTACTTAATGTGATTTTGTTGACCTAACCTTTCTACAGTGACAGCGCTCCTGACGATTTCACCTTTTTCAAAATCTAAAGATGGTCAAAGCGTCAAACCCTAAAATGCGCTCTATTGAGTAAGATATTTCCATGGGCTCATAGATGAAGCCGTACATCCAAATTACAACCACATGGTGAGCAGCGTTATAAACAATTCCTTGGGAATACGCCCTCCTCAAGTTGACAGCTCTTTTGAATGACCACGAGTTGGTGATAATTCCACTCATATATGAACTGCGAGTTATTGCGGCTGTACATAACACTGAAGCACACCATTTACCTTAACGATGAAGATCTAGATTGCGTATATTCAGTTGACATCGGCTTGCTTTGTGGAAGACGTTTGTCCATAGACAATAATACAATATTATTGAAACTGCTAGGCCACTTCATGCACTTGTAAAAGATGATTTACTTTAGCAAATTGTTGCTTCACCAAGCTATTCCACGATATAACAGTTTTAAAACAACATCTTCAAAACTCTGGGATCATTTTGGACAAACACCGAAGCGTAAAAGTGAATAGAATGCATAATAATCACACGTGAGATACGCTCCTATGCTTCACGTTTTTTCATTGTGTCTAAGAGGCGTAAATTCATAAAGCTACTGCGACTGCGACTATAATCAGCTGTTCTAAACTTCCTCATTGGAAGTCACGAAAAAGCGGTGGGTTTTTCGAGAAGTTGTTGATTGTGTAATTACCGGAGAGTTCTTCGTCTTTTTGTAAGTGTTATTGAAGCGTTTGGCCTAGTAGATTGTATATCAGTATACCCTTCCAAGCTCTGAAGAAGGCGATACTGCCGAAACGTCAGCTAGCGTTGTATTGTATTGTGTTTTTATGGAAGTAAATGTATGCTGTTTAAAAACCTCGCGATTGCTGAGCAAGAAAACGACACATTCATATTCCAATGCCGAGGTTAAGAGAAAGTCGATCTTGGGAACTATCATAAAGCTCTGTTAACTCCAAGGGGCCAGTCTAATCTTATAAAAATAAACATCGAAAATGTGGAATATTCATAAACCTACTTGCTACGAAAGCAAAAATTTTGGTGCGCTGGTCTTCTTTCAATTTATGGAAATATTTCATGGACTGGGCCGCATACTATGATACAAATTTGCCGAGATGTTAGGCCTTGTGAAACAATGCACAACACAACAGCAAGAGTAGCACAACAACTTCCATCTGAACTTATTTTTTAAAAGGCCGAAGTTGCAGGGGTTAAGAGTTGGTAGTAACACTATTTTTCAATCTTTCTACAAAATCAATTGTGAAAGAATGAGTGGCTCCCTTGAAAGTGTTTCCCCGCGGTATGTAACCGTGGGCGATGGGCGACTAAATAAAAATCCATTCTTAAATTAACAAAGCACTTTTGCGGGATTTCCAGAAAGAGTATTCAAGCTGTCACGCGCCTTGGACGATAAAGTTGCAATCTCAAAAAGAAAAATGTTATGTCTCCACAATCTTGGTGTTTGACTGCGAAAGCTAGTTTGATGAAATAACAACAATTGTAGAATACGAACCTGCATCAAAGCTTAAGTATTATAGAAAGGATAAGATATAGCTTCACTGTTTTGTATTTGTTACCGGTTCTGAAGTGTACTCAATATGCCTTGAAGTTAATAGAATCCCTAGTTTCGTACGAACTCGCACATGAACTCGTTCAATGGGCAGAATCTACTAAGTCTTAAATACTGGCTCCATGATTAGCCCACACTTTTGTAAAAATAAATTTTCCGTGAATAAGAAATCAGTGCATTGGTGCACGTTGTACTCTTGGCTTTCGATACAACCTATCCCAAAGTATTGCTCATATATAATTGACAAGCGATTTCACTAAACTGAAAGTAGCAATGCTTTTAAAACTAAGGTACGAAACGTTCTACACTAGTGTAACGAATTAGCTTTATTGTGATTTAATTTGTGCTATTTGGATTTCATTCAGTTTTTATGGTATGGTTCTCCTAACTTATTGGCCTAGGTCAACACTGTTCTGATATTCGTGATAAAGTCTCCAGAAAAAAGATTATACTGATGCTGCAGTAATTCAACTGTTCACTCACCACTCCCATTCACGTATATGAAATGTCTTCATGAATTGAAAAAAGCTGACCAAGAGATATGTAACCAGTTTCTCAAAAAGCTCTTAACCCACCTTGTAAGGTCGGAGCAATTTGTCCTGCTTCTGCTCCATAGGCACTCATGATCAACTTGTTGTTCTTTCTCCATTCCAAAGAGTAGTTATTGTCTTCAGGAGTAGGTAGAGAACACGGCAACGTGATCGATTTACCCTTCCTTCCCCAAAAGGTTCGCATTTTCTGAAAATTGTCTGCATTTCTCGCCTTGCCAGTTGCAGTATTATTCCATGTCAACAGTAGTGAGCTGTAATGGAATTGCAAACGAGAATTTTATAAGCAGCAAATGCCCAGAAAATCAAAGACTTAGCTGCTTCTCCCCTCTGCTGTAAATTTTAAAGCCTAATGTAATTTCGAAGTACGTGGACTCCGCTTGTAAAGGTCTCAGACGTTCTTTGAAGAAAATTTTGATTGCAACCACAAACAAAAGACAAGAGACATTCTAATAACAGTTAGTGTTAGCCAGTTAACAGATTTTGGACAAGTACATGATTCTGTAGTGGTCATCAAATGCAATGTGTGTTTGTGCCCGTAATCACAGAACTAGACCACGAGTACCTTTGGCCATTCGTCAAACACTTCTCGGAATTGTGTGAGACGCTTTAGTTCCAGGTTTTTCCACTTTATTCGCTAGACCCTTTCTACCCCTAATTGCCAACTGTTTGAATTTTCGAAGAAAAGTTTAAATGATGTGAATTTTATTTCTTTGGAAACTTTTACCCGGATCGGTTCTATCCGAAAGTTCCAGAACTCCCACGAAGGTGGGATTACGCAGACACAGGGAAGATGCCAGAGACAGAAGTAGAAAACAACTGAGCATTAATCATAGACCGGTTGAGTTATGGAAAAATAGGTTCTGTATTTCTTATGTCAAGGAAAAGGACTAATGTTGCCTCAGAAATTCCGATTATTTTCATTGCAAGCAAGGCCAGTTGGAGTGCTGACCTGAACGATGCTCAAGATACGAAAAGAACGTTAACTTCGTGTCGAATTACAAGTAAATCCTACATTTATTTCCGAACATTTGGAAGTTTGTGTTATGTAACTTCAATTATTGGCTTCTAACGAGGATATGAAAAAATGGAAATGCAGTTGTAGCGATGTTGGACCTGTGCAAAGTTCACGTAAAGTAACTTGGTTTTAAGAATTGTTCAATTTTAAAAGTAGATGGCAAAATAAGAAAAATAATGCTGAAAGAGAGGTTTAGTTTAAAAAGCTTTCATTGAGTTTACCATAATTAATAGTATTCTAAGGTTGATAGTATTTTCCTACTACTCACTAATTTGGTTGGTAACAAGTTTTTTTTGTGGGATTTTTCGAGACATCCATGTTATCTCTGGGATATTTAAGGTCACTGAAATACCAATAGTTGGTAAAATTCCTTGTGTCTCGTAATAAAAAGATTTAATTAATGTTTACCTCTTCACCTTTAGTTGCCGAAGAGAGCAGACCAAGCTAGTTGAGAACATCTGCTCGTCGGCTACACATAGCTGATGCATGTTCGATATACAGTAAGGTGACATGTCGTCTGTTCTAATCGCGGCAAATATTTTGAAGATTTTCCGGCGACAACAACACCAAAAATTATAGTCTCTCTGGCACGCTAATGAATGCAATACCCATCGTAAAATGTATCTATCGCTGAGGAGAGAGGGTCCTTCACCAAAATTTTAGGATTGGAGAAGAACTATTACTTTGAGGACAAGTCTTCTCCTCCTTCAGCGAAACGAATCCCCAGCTTTATGTGATCGTGTGGAAGCCACAAAAATTTTTATTTAGGTGAAGTACCAAGAAGTGCAGAAAAAATCTTGCCGAGATCTCAAGGCGGCTCAAAATATTCAAGACAAACAGGGACGCGACGTTACACTGACGACAAGAAGGTTCATAAAACATATTTTCGGAACAACATCACTAAAAGTGAGAAAGCGTTGGTTTTTTGGTTGACTTCAAACGCGAAAACAATATTTCTGCAAGTAGTAAAAGAACGACCATTCTGCAAAAAGAAAAGTCGTGAAATTGAATGAGCAGAGGTTTAAGGCGTTAAAAATATTCAGGTGCTAGATGTTTTAGCTGCTAACATTTCAGAGTGAATATATTGAAAAAATTTTGAAAGAAGCAAATGTTGCAGAGGTAGCGTTGGGAATGCATATCTCAGCAGTTGTGGGGTCACGTCGCGCCAGCAGCTGTCACCATTCTTTTTGTGACGAGTTGACCTTAGGCGCTTGTTTACGAATACTGCAACAATTGTAAGCCGTAACATAATCTACAACTGCCTTGTTATTATTGTGCTCTCCGTCCCCGACTTTTTCGAAAGACTACCCACTGTGAATACCGTGCAGAAGTCTTTGGCACTGCCATAATATTATATAAAATAAAACTGTTGTTGCGCGTTATAGAGAGACAGAAGAATAGAGGATGAAGAATGTCAATGAAAAAGGTCGGCATGCAACTACTTTTCTAATAAAAGTGAATGCGTCCAAAATAGCAATCCAAAGTTTGTATGAAAGCGAAATGGAGCATTATTTTGTTCGAAACTGCTATTCACGCACGTAATCATTAGCGCCCAGCACCACGACTTGGGTTAGAAGGAGTTTATCCCAACCTTAGCAAAATTTCGACATCACTTTTTCGTATTTGAAAACAGACTTTGAAAGTGAAAGTGATTGGTTGAAAATGGATTTCATTTCAATCAAAACATCAGATTTTCCAGGGAACCCTACACCTTCTCACACTTTAATGCATCATTTACGAAAACGTTCTATTTGTAATTTTGATCTCAAAATGAAGGAGCGAATTGGAAAAAGCTGTACTGACTTAACGTTTTCAAAGCGGATTTGTAGATGACTGATATGAATAGAAGACACACGGCAGCCATTCGTGATAAACTATTCGTGCACCAAGAATTTTTACTCCGTGAGTCTGTACGAACATTTGCCAATTTTTACAGAGGATTTATCTAGAAATGTGAATAATGCAGAAGCTAGTGAAGTAGTCAGTCAGGAAGCGAAGTGCTGGCTCGATCACATCCACAGCGCTCTCCTCCAATGCATATTGAAACGTCTTAACTCGGTTATCGTCATGATTTCAAGGAAAATTGACTCGACCAGCATACTGTGACTTTCATTAAGAAGACCTCAAGCAGGTACCGAAACAATACGCCAGATGTTCGAAGACCTTTATGGATGATGAATGCCGGGAAAATGAATCGGATGCAAGAAGTGCTGAGAATCACTGCATAGATGTGATGACGGCTCATGTAAATAAATAATGAACCTATAAAAATTCGAAGTGCTTATTGCAAAGCAAATTTATTGCTTCAGAGAATTTAAACTGCCTCGATAATTAGCAAGCCACCGTGAAACCGTGACGGAGCGAATTTACTTGTTTGCATTATTACGCTTGGTGCCACTAGGTCATCGAAAAACTAAAAATAACGCATATTACTAGATAGTTATAACACTGCTTGTATTTTTCTTGAGTGATCAGCACATTTGAGACAATTTGATGAATGAAGAAATGCAAATGGTTGTCAATACATTAAGGTGTGGTGCTGGCTGCTGCAGTACATCGTGGTGAGCTATAAGTAGAATCAAATAGAATCGAATCGAAGCAATTTCAACAGCTTTAGAACCAAATGCTGCAATACAAGGTGAAAGTAGACGAATTATTTTTGATAATTCACTATGGAAATAGCACGTTTGTCTCACGAAAAAGCAACTCTTCAACTCTTAATAACACTAAAGGACATCCTTCATTGAGACCATTAGCCATATGGTCGGCTTTAAAAAATAGATTTCACCTCATATTACCTCTTCAGAGCTTCTGTTCTCATACTGCCGTACAACGATCATAGCCAGTAGATTTCCACCCGTATTTGGTCGACGTAACGACCAGCGTGAATTGATACTCACTCATTTTCATTGCGGTCATTTATTTTCCCATATAAAAATGGTTTGTCGTACTTTTCGCATTCAATCGACAGCTTTCCAACGCAGATCATCGTTTTGGGTCAAACCTGGAAGCCTATTTTAAATACTAAATAATTTATAAAAACTTGGTTACAGTTTGAGCTCATTTTGTGGCGAAGAGCCATTTCCTTTTAGGAGGGAACATTCTTTGCCGCACTTCATCACTTGCTAGGTGCCCGTATATAGTTTCGGTTCGTAGTTTGAACAAATATTTCCTAGCTCGTGGTGAACCACATCATTTGAAGCAAATAAACAATCTGCGGATCTATACAAAGAAGATACAGTTTTTATTATTCTATCGTATTGAAATTCTGATTTAGTGTAGCGTACTAAGCTCCCCTTTTGTCTTATCTAGTGCTACTCATCGTTCGTAGATCAACTACCACCTTTTCCAACAGTTCATCAACCACCTCGACGGATAAACCTTTATGAACTGTCTGAGCAGAGATGCAGCATTTCGTACCACCCAGTTAATGCGAACAATAAAGCACAAGTTGGAAAGAAAAAAAATTTCCTGTGCGCTACACTAATATACTACTCGACAGCAATGATCTCAGTGACAGGATGCTAAAGAAAAAACTCCGAAAATAAGGCGGAACTTCGGTAGATCGAAAGAGCGGATATCGTGCTTTGATCAGGGCAGATGTCATGCTCCTGTTTTCGGCTGTTTCAGCTCGGAAGGGGATGCTTCACAATTCATCGCCAATTGCATAAAGTGTCTGATGTTCAAAAAGAAATTTCCAGAGTAACAAAGCCGTCTTGTCTTAAAGTGGTCCCGAAAGTGAAGGTCGCCGTTAAGAGAGCTGAGTATAAGTCGGGGATAACCGCTCTCATTGCGCCACTGAAATAAGGATCGGTTTCTACATCGGAAGGTGAACATGGAAGCCTCGAAAGCGAGTTTGTTGCTCAAGTCAACTTTTGGAAACCCAGGAAGCACGGTTTCCCTTTCTTCATAGTCCTTTTTCTTGGTAATCGACATAGTTTCGTGAATTAGGAAATAAGTTTGTATTATTACCTTCAAATCGCTGTAGTTCTACGTTAGTATGTCGGCTTAACATTTTTTATAGAAAGATATTTTTTTATAAATTTAAACCTTCTGCATTTTTATGGTGGCTTTGGAATCACTCGCATTTCTCATCAATACTACTCGTGCGCTTCAAACGATCCAACCTTATTTCTTGTCTGGTCTGCATGCACAGAAACAGATGCAGC